GGAAGCCACTGTCTGCCCTGGGCTGGATCTGTGGTGGCCCCTCTCTCTGTCCCTGCTGTCGTGAGCCTCGAACCTTCCTGCCACTTCCACCCAGTGTGTGGGGACTGCGACGTTGTCTTAAACCAAATCAGGTGACTGGTCAGCCTTCCTGTAGGATCCTGTGGAAAGGAGAGAAGATGGGGCCTCCACCCCCCGAGCGAGCATATGCTGTAACAGAAACTAGATGGTTAGATGTTTTGTTCACTGTCAAGAAGGGTTATAAATCAGCAGGAGCAAACCTCAAAAGGCGGCTCGGCGCCGTAGATGGCTTGTTGACTCAGTCCCCTTGGTCTGCTCCAGGCAATGCTGCCTGGTGGATTTTCGGGAGACCTCACTTTCATCAGGTCCCTCCCTGCTCCAGAACCTACAGTGGCTCTTTCTTGCCCATCTCATCCTAACTTCTCCTCCGGCCACCTTTCGGGGGCTTTGGGAGGGCTTCTCCTGTCTTCACAATTTTATTCCCCAGGCCACAGAATCCTTCACTGCCTTCCGGCTTCCAGAGCCAGGGCATTAGCCTTTCTGGCAGCCACAGTAAGAAATACTCACCCTTCCTGTGTGTGGTAAACACTGGTGTTTGCTCTTCTTTTCAATCTTTTCTATTTCATTAAAAAAGTGTGACCCACAAGGTTGATTTCATGGTAGACTGACTAATGGGTGGTGACCCACAGTCTGAGAAGCAGAGCCAGCTTAACATAGTGCTAATCACGGAGGCACAGTGAACACGGAGGACATGGCAGAGCTGGTAGGAACTCTCCAGGGACAACTGTGTCAGGAGAAAAAATGGACTCATCAAATCTGACAAAAAGTTGGTCCCAAAATATTCTAGAGCAGTGGCCGCCCCAATTTCTTTTTGATTGCACACCCCATCAGTGAAAAATGTTTGCATGTAGCCCTAGCTGGTTTGGCTCAGTGGAAAGAGCATCAGCCTGTGGACTGAAAGGCCCAGGGCTTGATACCGGTCGAGAGCATGTACCTGGGTTGCAGACTCGACCCCTGGTCCTGGTCGGGGCGTGTGTGAAGGCAACCAATTAATGTGTTTCTCTCACAGATGTTTTTCGCTCTCTGTCTTTCTCTCTCCCTTCCTCTCTCTCTAAAAATCAATGTAAAAATATCCTCAGGAGAGGATTAACAAAAAAAAATATGTTTGAGTGTATAACTCTAATATATGTTTGGTTATTTTTTAGCCTATCAATGTATTATGTGAGCATATAAAACATACATTCAAAACATAAATTTTAAAAGGATCAGCTAAAGATGAAAGAGACCATATTTCATACTGACATGTTACTCATGGTAGCTTCATTTTTTTATCAGCAAATATCTGAAGGCAAAATACAGACAGAGGACAAGGTTCATGGGTTTCAGCAGCAGTTATAAATCAGTTTTCAATTTGTTTTGGTAATTTAAGATGTTTTTCTGGTTGACTTCTGGTCAGATTTGAGAAACATTGCTTTATATCACACTCTCTACCCTTAACATTGCCCTTCCTTTCCTGTCAAAACCGAAAAGCTCTGTTGGCACCTCCTTTGGCTGCCTCCGTCCATCAGAAATGTGGAGAGAGTCATCTTTGACACCTTTCTTTCCCTTGTCCCTCAACCATTTATTTACCATAGTCTGGTAAATATGGGGTCAGATCTCCCCACATTCTCCTTGGATTGCCAAGTTCCCACCACCTGGGCTCCGTCTTCCTCCCAGTCCTCACAGGAGTTTACACTCCAGACCCCCTCTCACTGGACGGCCCCCAGCCCCTTCGCCTGGCTGACTCCTCCTCGCCCCTGAAGCCCCAGCATGAAGGTCACTTCCTCAGAGAGTCCTTCTCTGACCACTGCCCAGTATACTTTCTGAGGCTCTTATCACAATGTCATTTTTATACTTAATATGTTTCAGTTTGTTTAAAGTATATAGCCCTCTAGTATCTAGACTGTAAGTTCTTTGAAGGCAGGGACCGTGCCTGCTGTGTGTGTGTGTGTGTGTGTGTGTGTGTGTGTGTGTGTATGTGTTGCAGTCTCAAAAAATAATTAATACAGCAACTCTATGAAGTAGTTCCAAACAGAATCTCCATTTTACAGATGAAGAAATTGAAAGACAAAGGGTTAACTGCCAAAGGTCACTGGGTTAGTAAGTGGGGGTGCTCGTCTCAGACCCAGGCCTTTCAGATTGCAGTGTGTACACTTACCAACTGCTCTAAGTTGTTCACTGGTCACCTGCATAGGCTAAGGGCTGATCTTAAGTCCCACCATCCTTGCTGTTGCCCCGCCAACCCTCTACAGTGAGTCTCCTTGTGTTGAATGAACTGGCTTGATTAGTACTTAGGGTCTCCGTATAACAACATTTATTCTATGCTGTTCTGAATAACATCACTTACCCCCAGATAATTCCATTCCCTAAACCTCACCTACCTAAGCTAGATTGTAAAGTGAGACCCTGCATTGACTCATTCTTCTCTTTAATCCCTTGGAGAGGACCTGAGGACTCCACACACTGAATAAATATTACTGATTAGTTGATTGTCATCAGGAGGATGACAAAGATTTCATCTGACTCCCAAGTTAAATCCTGTCTTTGCACATACATGCTCCCCAGCCAAGAGCAAGACCGGATTCAGAGTAGTTTTAACTGTTCCATTTTGCACTTGTTGGCTTTCTTCCTGGTGGATCTCAACTTCTGGCTGAGACCCAAGAATTTAAGGGTCTTCAGGACCATGAGTAATTTCATGAGTTGCTGATGGCTAATTAGGGGTGATTATGGTTAAGAGGCTCTACTTTCTTATTAACCCTCAGAAAGGACTAGTGGTAACTTTTAAAACCTTGATTATTTTCTCCTGTAAATGGAATTTTCTGATTCTCACGACTGTCTTTTCTTAAGTGCTTATAACTTACCTTCTCATCCTCCCTTTCTTGTGAAAAGGAAATGTCAAGTCCTAGGAAGAATTTGGAAACCAGTGATTTTGGAAAACTGGCTTCATTAGAGAGGACCCCTTGGCACACCTGGAAATCTTGCTCATTTATTTGTCTTTCTCTGAAAAGAGGTGTGGGAGGAGAGGAGGCTGGGCCATGATTTTACTTCCCAACTTCCATCACATTTCAACCAAACCTCCCATTCTGGGCTTTCATAAAGTTTGAAACTGTTGGATCACTTGAAATGTTTAGAAATTCTGTTTAGTGAAGGATTCTGAATAAAGTAGGGGAGGGAGTGTTAGCTTCCTGAGGTTATTGTGATAACACATTTTAAGCGTCGCTTCACCTCTTCTTGCATGAGTATCATCAGAGCTACTTTTTATTGAGTGCAACTCTGTGCCAGGCACTGGGCCAATGTCCACTCACTTAATTGTCACAACTACTTTGAGTAGTTTTTATGCAGTATTTTAAAAGTTTTATTGTGGTATAATTCATATACCATACTTCACCAACTTATAAGTGTATAATTCAGTGGCTTTTAATATATTCACAGGGCTGTGCAGCCATCACCACAATCTAATATTAAAACATTTTTGTCACCCCAGGAGGAAACATTGTACCCTCCCATGAGCCCCATCCAACCACCAGATGGTGGCAACCACTAATGTACTTTCTGTCTCTGTAGATATGCTTATTCTGGACAATTGCTACAAATGGAATCATACAATCTTTGATCTTTGTGGCTGGCTTCTTTTACTTAGGATGATGTTTTCAAAGTTCACCTATGTTGTAGCATGTGTCCGTATGTAATTTCTTTGTTTGTTAGTGTTTTTACCCACTTCTGAGGTTAACTCTGGTCCCAGCCCCACCCTCAACCACAGCCCCCACCCCTTGCTGTCCACCTCTCACTCAAAGGAAACGGTTACATCGAGGAGCACAAGAAGGGCAGTTGTACACTGAGGAAACCCAAACACAGAGGCAGAATGACTTTCCTGTGGTTAAGTAGCCTTCAATAGATGGGGCTAAATTTTCAATGCAGGTTAGCCTAATGCCAGTTTGGCTATGAGCTTGGAGTCTGTGGTATCAACCGATGGTGGTTGGTACCAATTCACTGCCAACAGAATCCCCAATTTTGAATGCAATGAAAAAGGAAACTTTTTTTCAGTACAAAACAGCCCCATTGTGATACAATATGGCTGTGCAAACAGCAGGGCTGTGAGGCACCTGTGGGGCCAGCCCTCTGTCTGCTCTTCTCCTCCTGGTCTGCTGTGCTCCATTCTGGTCTGCTTTGCAATGCTCTGCTCTGCTCCACTCCGTTCCAGTGAGACATATTTGTGGTTCAGCTCAGCCAGGGTAATGCAATTTTCAGTCCTAGGTGGACAGGAAAAGTGCGTTCTCAGAACCAGAGGGGAGCTGGCTTATACAGACAGAAGTCCCAGCTCCTATTCCCCGATTGGCCTGTTCTCATGCAAATGAGGACTCCAAATCTTCACAGTTTGATTGGTCCAAAAAGCTCTATCCTGTTGGATCAGCATAGAGCTTCTCTGGTTTGTTGAAGCTGCACATCTCTGATTGTATAGGGAAAGCCTCAGTCCTATTGGTTGAAATTAGATTTCAGGAATTCTTTCATCAAGGGCTGGCTCAGATGGCAGAAACACAATGCGGGCTTCTCCACGAAGTGCAATTTGCATAAGAGGCTCCTGCGTAGAAATGGCTGCTAGGCTCTGTTTTGTTGTTGTTGTTTATTTATTTGGTTTTTAGTTTGAGCCCAGTTAGCCACCTGGAGCTTTTCTTAGTAGGTATCTTTTCCTTAGGGTCTCAGAGATCATCATCGATAGGTATTTGTTGGCCCTCTTGTGTGGATTAGCCACTGTGCTGAATGGCCTATAAATTTGGTGCCTCATGTTCATACACAATTAGACTTCAACTGGGGAATCTGGTAACCATAACTGGTCAGTGGAATTTGTGTTCTCATGTCTTCCATTGCTCACTTCTGGTTTCATTGTAGCCTGAAGAATTTTCCCAAGCACCATGCTAAAAATAGCATTGTTGTTCCTTCTATAGGAGTTTGAATACCACTCCCACCTGCAGAAAATTGGCAACATCTCCCAGGAGCCCTTGCTTTTTCCCTGGACCCTGGCATCATGGTTTCCAATTTCATGGGGTTTCTCAGGTAAGTGGAGAACCTTTTAAAAAAAGAATAAGAAACCAGATCAGTTAAGTCAAAATCTGCTCAAAACATTTATGACTTTCACCTGCATTTTTTTGTCTGATCCTAATATCAACCATGCGAGGTAAGTGGGACAAGCACTAGTCTCTCTAATTTGCAGAACAGAAACCAGTGCTCAGAGTCCTCAGCTGCTGTGCCACGTTCCTTCAGGGTAGAGTCAGAAAAAGGGCTCTGCGCTCAGGAACTGTAGTCCCCGGCATGGAGGCTATTTTCAAGCTTTAAGCTAATAGACCCTTTTAAAAATTCTTTAATCAAAATTTTATGTAAAATCTCAATATATAAAATAGCCAATGGCACTAGTTCATTAAGATAAATTTATTTTAGCCCCGGTCAGTGTGGCTCAGTTAATTGGGTGTCATTCCATACTCCAAAAGGTCGAGGTTTGATTCCTGCTCAGGGCACATACCCAGGTTGTGTGTTCCATCCCTGGTCAGGGTACGTACAGGAGGCGACAGATGTTGCTCTCTCATATCAATGTTTCTCTCTCTCTCCCTCTCCCTTCCTCTCTCTGTAAAATCAATGAGAAAACAGATCCTTGGATGAGGATTAAAAAAAAAGAAAGATAAATTTATTTTACAAGTTCAGCTTTGTAATATTTACACATTATGAGGTCATTGAGTCTGTTTGGGTAAACACCAAAATTTGAACTCAGGATTTATGGCTGATAGCTGGTACATCAGCCTCATCACCTGGTTGATTTTACACTTGTTTTAGCTGCATAGTATTAAGAAAACCTTGATCCGTACAGGTAAATAATTGCAATTAGTAACAGTTTTTGCTAAAACTCATCTTGCAATCTTAGGATATTCTTTAGATTACTTAATTCAGAATCTAGAAAGATGGGAAGGAAGAACCTTCTGTTTCAAAGTTGAGTCACCAAGGATATTGTGTAATCCCCTCCCCGCCCCCCCCATAACGATACATTATTGTGGAGGGACTACTAAAAAGTAAAATGGTTTATAGTATGTTATTATGATGGTGCCACATACGATTGCCCAACCAGTGCTTGAGCATTTGCCTGGCAGGTGCTCTTAGGCCTAGGCCTGGCATTTAATTGAGTGCAGTAGTGCGTGTGTGTGCACTGTAGTCTGTAGTTGCTTGTATAATTACATGAACAGACATGTGCAGGCCTGAAGTTCAAAAACCTGTGCAGAGCTGCAACCTTCTTCATCAGTGACATTCACAAGTGTGTCAGAAACAGTTAGAGGCCTCTGCAAAATCCAGCCATTATCAGAACAGCCCACGTTAATGTTTTATGGTCTCTGCAGGGTTAATATTTGCCATTTAACTTAATTTTGCATGTGTGCATTTTTAAGCAATAGTTTAAAAAATAATTTAAAAGGTATTTGAAGTCATGCACTATACATGTGTTTTGTGGAAGCTCCACCACACTGCTGTAAAACCACTGGCCACAGAGGGACCTTGGCCTCGTTGAACACTAGTACCTAAGGGGGTACAGAGAAGTGGATGTCACAGTCACATACTGAACTGAAAAGAGCAGCAGATGACCAAAGTTGGGTTTACCATGTGGTAAAAAAGAGTAAAATCTCTCTCCCTCTCCCTTCCTCTCTCTCTAAAATCAATGAGAAAACAGATCTTTGGCTTTTCTGGCTGTTATCGGAAAAGCCCTTAAAAGTACTGAGGACCCTCACAATTGTGGCCATCAGGCTACACAGGAAGGGCTTTACTTGGGACAAATCCCCTTTTGCAAATATTTTTCTTGATGTCCTAGGATTTTAACTGATAGCCTTGTAAGGATCTGTGGTGTGGAGACCCTCTCCCATCAAGGGGGTCCCGGGCTCACCTCTAAGCTATGCATTACACTGAGTGGCCAGATTATTATGACCACCTGATGTTTGTAGGCAAATTAGCTATATTTTCGCGCTGAAGTTGCTAGAGAGCCAGATCATTATAAACATCTGAATAGCACAACATGCCTAAGTACTGTTGCTGATCAAGTTCATCCTATCATGTTGATGGCATATCCCAATGGAGATGGCTTCTTCCAACAAGACAATGCGCCATGCCACGGTGCTCGTATTGTGCAGGAGTGGTTTCAAGAACATGAGGGAGACTTTACCTTGCTTAGGTGGCCCCACAATCACCAGATCTCAATCCAATTGAGCATTTGTGGGGCGAAGTTAAAAGAGCCATCAGGCAGCTGGTTCCACAGCCATCAAATCTCACAGCACTAGACAGTGCTATTCATCAGGCATGGTGTCCAATTCCTCGCATCACCTTTCAACATCTCGTGGAGTCAATGCCAAGAAGAATCGCCGCAGTATTGAATGCAAAAGGTGGCCCAACGAAGTACTGATGGGATGGTCATAATAATCTGGCCGGTCATAATAATCTGGCCACTCAGTGTATTTCAGAGAAAGTGCCCACAGATTAGAAATGAGCAGGCGGGAGTACTTGACAGTGTGACGTCACCTTGCTCTCCTGGTGGCAGGACTCTGGATTTTGGGCCCTGCGAAGGGATTGTTTGAACCAGGCTGCTCAGCCGGACAGTTCCCCTGAGGACTCGGGCGGGAGGTGGGGGAAACTGTGAATTGTGAGGACAGATTCTTTGGGAGAGCTCTGCTGGAGTTTCCCATTAGGTCTCCTTCCTAAGCCAGGTACTCAAACTATTTCACATCACAGTCTGTTTCTAGAGCCATGTAAACTGGGGACGGGTGGTGGGAGTGTTGGACAGACATCACACAACTCTCCACACCCAAGAGAAAACAAACATAGAGTGTCTTTTGTTTAAATACTTTTCAAAATGTTCTGGGGAAAAGGGCTATGGTTACTTTAAGAGTAAGAGGTCATTGATAAAAATGGTAGATGAGAAACACATATTTAGGCCTTTTTAAAATTTATCAAGGCGACCAAATGGGTAAAGATCTATTGGAGAAGCTGACAGACTTCTCTGCCTATAGGGAAAGCAGGTCAAAATTAGAAGTTAGCTGCCAAGAAAATCCCTCAGAGGAAAAAACATTTAAGGGGATTCACAATTCTGATATGTAGAGATTTAGTTTAAAAATCCCTGCTCAGTTTTTGCCAAGTCACAAAAAAGCATAAAGTCAGCTTCTTCCTCATTAAAAGGGACAGAGAAGCCCTTACTACTAATGTAGCAAGAATAGTTCGGCTCACTCAGAGTCCGTAGTAATGAAAAAGAATCACGGTTAAACCCAGTAGCAGAAGAAATATAAGATTTAAACGTTTAATGGAACTGGTTAGTGGCTGTCACTGAACCTTGGACCAGATCTGGATGCCATGCAAAATATAAGGTAAGTAAAATCCTTTCGGACCAAAGAGTCAGTCAAGGCTAGATTAAGGAATGTTCCTTAATCTGTTCCAAGGTAGAGAGGAAAAGGTACTAAGTGATGAGAAGTGTTTATATTGCTAAATACATGTTCCAAATCGTGTACCTTTTTTCTTTGTATGCACAGGTACATCCTTATGTGCTTGTTCAGTGACTGAGTTGAAGGAAACAGATTCTCCCCAGAAGCTCTGTAACAAGCGATGACGACTGCCTACCATGGGCAGCCAGCTGAGTCTGTTAGAGCCAGTCTGCTTGCTTGGGGCTCTTCCTTTACCTGGTGGAGTGCTTTAGTGTAATTGATATGTTTTATGTTTAAAATGAAAACACAGAAGAAAACAAAACTATGAAAATACCAAATGATTGGTTAAATTGGCAGGAAATAAAGTTGATTCAGTGATTCTTATTTTGAATGGTAGTTTTTGAAGAAATGCAGATGTAATTAGAGAGATTACAGAGTTAGATGGTGATTTTTATAGATTTTATGGGGAGTTCTGGATCATTTTAAGCATTGTACAGATTGATGGCCCTAGGTCAAGTGTCTGGTTTTAGTCTTCTGAAAAGAAAGACTTTTCCTTTCCTTGATATACATTTCAGTGAATAATATTACTGTAATGCCTGTCAGCTACTTTGCTTAGAAATACAACTAAAGGGATTGAGGAAATGAGAAAGAGAAAGATGGCTGATGTTCTTCAGGCAACTGAAAAAGATCCTGAATACAGAAAGGAAGAAAGTGGGTAAAAAAAGTGTCTTTGTATGTATGAGAAAGAGAATGCCCAAAATAGTGATATTTGAGGTATGACTCAACAGTGAGAACAGAGATTCCCCTCAGGGGCAAAGAAATCTATATATATAAAACCCTAATATGCAAATAGACCAAACTACTGAACAACCGGTTACTATGATGTGTGCTGACCACCAGGGTGCGCATGTGGAACATGGGAGGTGTTGGCAGCAGGCAGCAGAGTGCAGAACATGGCGGGTGTCATCGGCCATGGTGGGATGGTGGAGCAGGTGAGCAGGGGCACCAGACCAAGGCGGGGTGCTAGTTGCTGTCATTGGGGTGAGCCTCTGGTGGTTACTGAAAATTCTTTGTTCTTGTGCACCGCGGTCCCACCTGGCACTTGCACTTGCTGCTAGTGTCAGCCCCGCTTGCACCCGCTGCCAGCGCCAAGCACTGGCCCCGATACTCAGTGCCGTCAGCAAGTTCAAGCAGCGACTGCCGGCTCCGATCACCCCTCAGGGCTTCTCCACCTCCCCCTGCTCCTGAGGGGTGATCAGGGCCAGCAGCTGCCTTTCGTACCCACTGCCAGCAACAGCCCTGCTCGCACTCGCTGCCGGCATTGGCCCCAGTTTCTCTGTGGTGTCAGCGGGTGCGAGCAGGGCCCGCGCCATCAGTGCATGGGAGTGGCAGTGGCAGGAGCGGGACTGCTGGCAGACAGGGGACCGGCGGCCGTGGTGGGAGGGGTTGGGCCGGGGCACGGAGGATGGGCTGAGACCCACCCCTGTGCCCACCAAAGCCTCACGGCCCACAGTTCCTTTCAAGATACACAAATTCATGCACTGGGCCCCTAGTATGTGAGAATTGGGAAGGACCATGGATAATTCAGTGTCCTTATGCCAGTGACCAAGGAGTGGG